CTATCTTGGGAGAACTTTTCGAGCAGAGACTTTGCTTTGGTAATTTAGTAGTCCCATAATTACTCTAATAATTTTAAATTTGGTGTTGAACTCCAGTCTACATAAAATCATGCAATAATAGCCTACTAAGCTGTTTATTGCCGTCTCATAAATTTTAAAGCGCTGACTGCTAAAATCTACTGGCAAACACAAAAGAAAATTGAAAGTTTAATCTGCAATCGTTGGAGCCCGAGCGCTGCTGCCTGGGGTTGTTCTTAGCTCTACCTTTCACTCCACTCCACCAGCCCAGAGCGACCACACAGGGAACCCCCTGGCATTTTAGGCTCAACTCATACCTTACCCATTTTGATCCCTAATCAATAGTCATGTTACAAACGGCAATAAACATTGATCAAGCATGTCTTGACCGGATCGCGCCACTCGTGTTGAATATGGAGTGTGTATCTGAAAATGGTCCCGGTGACTTTCTGTTATTTATTTCGGAGCTATTAAGTCACACCACCATATTTTACGCTGCCACAGTCCTTTAAACTATGCTTCTTGAAAGAGTTGCTAAGTAGCAATAAAGCACTTTACAAACGCTATGACTTTTTTTTTAATTTGTTGTTATCCCAAACTCTAATATTCATTGCGGCACTTTAAGTTCGTACATAAATCGTCCAGACTAATGAGTCATAGAGAAATTCGCCCATGACTTTTCCTTTACAATGCTCGCTGCCTTTCCATCGCTTTTTTGGCCCTGCATTAGGAGCCGGTGATTTATTAACGCCAGGAAAATTGAACAAAGCAGGTCCTCCTGCACTGTGGCACCCAGCCTTCCACAGTGTGAATTAGAACATTATCAAATGTGTTTGCCTCGGTAACACTTAATCACCAAAAGCCATAATGTGACCACAAGGCAGCTAAAACAAAGATTTAACATTTCTAAATATTAAACTTGTTAAGCAAAGGCTCAGCAGACAAAGCAAGCACAAACAATTAAAGTCATCAAGCTAGAAATACACACTACCTACTTACCAACACAGACCCTACTGCTTGCTTAAGAAGTTTAGAATCTTTCAAGATAAATCAGGTGGTTTTTTTTAAGGGAAAAAAAAAAAGAAAGAAAAACAAACTCCAGTAACAAGGAGTTGAGTTTCACTTGTGAGAGAATCACTCCTAGTGAGGACTGACGGCCACAGATCCATTCCTGACTATCTGCATTAATTATTTAATGAGTCACGTGACCATAAAGATTAAAATTTCAATATCTCCACCAGAACAGACGCAACACCTTTATCTGCGAGCGCAGGGATCCTCGTACTTGGGTCCCCTAATCTCTGCTGGCTTTGACAGCTCCTCACTATCTAGGGAGAGCGCTTGGACAGCAGTAATGCAGGTTTGTCCCGCTTCGCAGCAAAATGGGGCAACTGTGCAACACCCCCCCCCCGCCCAAATTAGTCATTTGAATCCAGACCTTCATTCAGCAGCGTGTGTTAACACGAGGGGGGCACTTATCACTTGTGGCACGGGGAAATAAGATCGGATCAGGGATGGCGCCCCCGGGGCTGCCCTGCCAAGCGCTGGTGGAGATTGCTCTGCGCGGGTCAGGATTGATTTGCGCGGGTCAGGATTGTCTTGCGTGGGCCGGGCGGAGGCGGGGGCGCTGCCGGGGGCCGCGCGGAATTGAATGGAAACCTTCAGAAAAAGGTATGAGAAGGTTGTATTTCAGTTTTCAGTAAGACTACCGGGACCGGGGCAGGGGAGCCGCGGGGCAGGCCCGCGAGGGGAAGACGAAGCTTCATGACAAGCCTGTCAAGATCCCTGCCTGTGTGAGGGCTCTCCCCCTCCCCGCCTTCCCCTTTTACAAACTAAGTGTCCATGGGACACGAATTCACCCCCCCTTCCCCAAAAAAGTCACAGACTGGGATAACCCTCCAACGCAGAACGGTTCTAGTTATTAAATACCACAAGGCGCTTGTCACAGCTGAGTTCCCCTTGTAATAAAACACCAGGTATAGCAAGAGACTGCAGGAGAAACGAGGAGGGAGACCTTGGAAAACTACCATTTTTCTTGACGGGTGGAGGGGAGGTGGGTACCGAGGTTAACGGCGTGGTGTTCCCTGCGGCCATTAGATTGACTCCGAGGTGATTTTGTCTTTCTTTGAAATATTGACAAACTTCCACTTTCAGCATTTTGGGCCGCGCTCGCCTTTGTGGAGAGAGCAGATAAATACGTGTGTGAGAGACACCAGGAGAGCGAGAGAGAGGGAGGGAGAGAAAGAGACATTTAGGTCCAAGTGCCGGATTAAAAAGAATACTGTCTTTAAAGGTCAAGGGTTTGAAGGGTCAGTCTGCTTCTCTAAAAAAAACAATTAATGGGATAGAAAATTTGTCCTCTCGGTGAACTCCTGGTTGCCTTAGCAAAGGGAGCACAATGCGGGAATTTAAACTGGACGATGTAATTTTCGAAGTTATTGTAAGACGGGCGGTATCGAACTGGGAGCAGAAGGGCTCCCAGCCCGAGAACACGGTGCCGCTCTTAAAAAGGGGAGAGGGGGAAGGGGATATAAAGGAAATTTTACCTTAAATGATGATAATCTGCCATGGGATATTTTGCAGTCCGCGGTTCAATCTCCACCGAGAGAGTGTACATTTTTTTAGCAGACAGCCAAGACGCTGTGTCTTTACACATGACCACTTTTTTTTTTTTTCCAGGAAAATCCTTTGCGTCTTCACAGACTTTTCCAAGAGAATGCCTTTCAGAACCGCTGTTGAATTACAAAGAAGTATTTATTGTAGGAGGTGATTAATGATTCCCGCTAAAATTGCTATTTGCAGCGTGATTTCATTTCTCTTTACAATAGGAGCAAAACAAGTTTACACGCATAGGCTGCACACTAAAGAAATTCTGCATTGCCAGTTAATATGTTTCAACCGGATTTTTGTTCAGTTGTGCTAATCTGGGCTAATTTTTGCTTTAAGTAAGGGATTCGTCAGCAATAAACAAAGCGAGAGTTACACGACTGCAGATAGTAGTTACCTCACTATACTCTGCTTCCTTTATAAGGAGGCAGCAGGCAGTTTAGGGTTTAGTAAACAGCAATATGTGAGTGGAAGCACGCTTTTCGGGCCTGCTTGTAGGTCAGTTTTGGAGACAACAGTGTTTTGCTAAGTGTATTTGCAACCGCCACATCTTTGATGCTGAACATACTCTGCCAGTGACACATTAAATATTTCACTGAGATGGTGCCTGCTCCTTGGACAGTAAGTGATGTTCACAATATTGCTGGGGCAGCGTGATTTCTTACTGGGGGGGACAAGGCACCCTATCCTGGCGGTCTTACCTACGTGAAAAGAAGCACTGATTCCAATAATTATTCTCGGAGATACTTGGGCGAGTAAGGAAATCTTGGCCTTCAGTCCTTTCCTGAAAGATTTACTAGCACTTGAGTTCCTTTCTATGACTTTTCCTACCGAGCACAGTGCTACTCTCGAGAAAGTGTTGTGAAAACTCTTGCAGGCTAGTATGGCACATGCTCCCCGTTAGCATTTCCACTCTGGCTGTGTTCATTAGCTGTCTAGAAACAGAGAGAAGCACAGTCTGAATTGGAAGCACTTGAACCCCATTATGCCACAAGCATTTCGAGAATCTCTATCAAATAAACCTCTTGAGTTGTACCCAGTTTCATATCACTGTTGAGATTTTCTCAACACATTTCACAATTGCTAGAAAGAAAGAAAGAAAGGAAGAAAGAAAAAAAGAAGAAAGAAAAAGAGAAGGCAACTAGATAAACTTTCGGTAACTGCCCAAGTATTTTCGCCTCAAAAGTACTAGCCAACTGAAAAGTCATAATCAGACAAAGATGAACGAATAAATCACGGCTGGCTAAAGATTTAAAGTGTTATCATGGGGAGCATGTGTGACTTCTTCTGCAGTAAAATCTGTCATGGGAGCTTGCTGGCTCCCAGTGGAAGCTCAGTTTTTCTGTAATGCAGTCGAAAATAGTCATATGCACAGAGATGGAGAGACAGACTAATTCTACCATATAGACTGCTAAAAAGAATAACACTCACCTATACGATAAAATAAGACCTTTCCTTGTCATACGGTGCTCTTTATCCAGACAGGCAATTGGGAGGGAGCACGTTTTTCACTATATTTAATACAACCATTACCTTATTGACAAGATTAGTCCAAGTTAAAACAATATGTTAAACCATTTTTTTCCATCCCTGGTGCCAATACCAGCAAAGCACAAGGTATATGAAACGGCACTGAGTGGACTTGTGTTTCAAACGTTTAATTCCTTTGTACAGAATAATCTTTATTACCAGCATTTGGCACTGTATACATTACACCAAAAATCCACAAATTGTACATGGACCCAAACGATTTAGACGGTGCCAAATATGAAAACAGCAAGAGCCTTTATAGCAATATTTTTTTAAATAAATGCGATAGGGAACGTGGAGAAAAAGTAATATATCACAGCTACTGCAGGGACTACACCTAAAACCAGTTAAGTCACCTTTGATACATAAAACGTTTTCTTTTAGACAGTGTAAGGGGACAGTTTTTTGTAGGTTTTAACTTCCTGTGAATGCGTTCGCTCTCTTCTGTGTGTTTGTGTGTGTGCATTTGTGTATGTGCACTCTCACGCACACACCCTCGAGAATCCATGAACGCGACACGAAACAGAGCTATTCAAGTCAATGCCTTACACAAGTGTCTCACGAGGTCTTTGCTTTGTTTTAACTGTCTTTTATTTTTTAAGTGTTCTTTACAAAAAAAAAAAAAAAAAAAGTCCTTCTTAGGTACAGAGGATTCGTCCGTGACAGCATCCAGCACTCTGTTACACCGAGGCAACAGAGTGTTTCCATAAATAGAAAAAAAATGACGGGCATGGAACCATTTTCTATATACAATGTAGACAATCGTCCGAGTTTTGGTTTAAACATGTACCCGTTCTTGGGCACGTCTCTTCTTCCTTTTCTGCTTCTGCTCTGTTTTGTTTTACACAGTTGTTTGGTCCAAACGGCCAGCCACCCCCCATCGAGGGGATGGGGGTGGCCCTGTGTCTGTGCTTTGGATTGCTGGCTCAGTGTGGACTGGTTTGAGGAGCGCATCTTGGTGTTAGGCAGTTTATGGTCTTTCTTCCATTTCATGCGCCTGTTCTGAAACCAGATCTTGACCTGGCGCTCGGAGAGACAGAGGGTGTGCGCGATCTCGATGCGTCGCCTCCTGGTCAGGTACCGGTTAAAGTGAAACTCCTTCTCCAGCTCCAGGACCTGCTGTCTGGTGTAGGCAGTGCGAGACCTCTTGGGCTCCCCTCCGTTGTAATTGGGATTGACTGAACGTACACACACACACACACACACACACATACACACACACACATACATACACACGCAAGAGGGAAAGAAAGGGAGGGTGAAAGCGATTGAACATAATCATTATATAATAACTTGACACCAGGTTCAAATAAGATACATAACGGCAAGAAAAATTGTTTCACAGCCCCCACGACAGTGGGGACAATCGAGGAGCAATAAAAAATGGTGATGGGCATTTGGGTTAGAAGAAAAGCTTCAAAGACACATGGCCCAGAGCCACTGCAGGGCAATTAAATTTATGGGGGCTATAATTACTGCCCTAACAGTTTGGCGTCTCGTAAATCTTTTGATAAAGGACCCCGGATACAAAAGGTTTCTCACTTTTTTTTTTTTTTAGGAACGCGGAGGGAGAAGGAGGGAGGAAAAAAAAAAAAAGCATACACGCAACAACCCGTCCCGGCCCTGGGAGCACCCTCCCCTCTTCCCTCCTCTGCAGGCGCATCCCAACCTCCCCCTGGCAAGGGCAACTCACCCGTGCTCACATGGATCTTCTTCATCCAGGGGTAGACCACGGGCTCCTTCCCCTTGAGCCCGGGCAGGCTCTTGTCGGGCAGCAGCGGGCACCCAGGCCCGGTGCCGGCCCCGGCGGCGGGGGC